GGTTGGACTCGATGATCTTAGAGGTCTTTTCCAACCTTAATGATTCTATGATTCTATGATAAGTATTTTACTGACTCTGAATTTCAGTTTTGCTATGCTTTTGTCTGGATGGAGGTCAGCTCAATATATTATTTACCTGTTTGGAAATCCAAAGGAAAGGGTGAGAGACTACGCTGTATAAAAACAATAAAACTGTTGTGGAGGAAAACTAATACCATCAAGTGGATGGTTATTCCATGTTGTGGAAAAAGCATATTGCTGTTAGAATACTTTGAACCCGAAGTACTGCCCTGATAATTGCAATAACTTGTTCTGCTAATTCAAAAGTGCAGGAAAAAAGGAACCTTTATCGTTTATATGAGTTTAAAAGTGCAGGAAAAAAGGAACCTTTATCGTTTATACGAATTTAAAGAAGTTGTTCCCCACTTCTACTGTTGACTCATAAACACTGAACTATCAGCATTTGCAGAAGAATAAAACTGGAGATTATTTACCCAGTAAAGATACTATAAAATTGGTACAACATTGTTTGGAAAGCTTCATAGAAAAACAAAATTCCACAGGATAATAAAACACCACCATTAAAAAAAGTTCATTTTTCCTCCAGAAAAACATGTATTGTACACACTTCTAGGAGCTGTATAGTCATTTGTTCAGAAACTGTGAGCTCATGTTACGCTAACATCTATTTAAAAGTTTGTAGCCAAGTATTTTACAAAACACTACTCTAGAACATATAACTAGGTAAGTTACAGTTAGTTGTCGTCACTTTTCAGCAAACAAAACTGAAACGGTGTGTTGTTTGGGGGTTTTTTTGTCTTTTACCTCGAATGGATCATTCAGCCTACTTCAAATTAAACCCAGAGGCAATGTTAATAAATGCTCGATGATAATGTACGGAAGGAATATTTACAACTACCAACTAGTATCTGAGACACTTGCAAAGTGCGTTCCACCAGCATTTCTATTTCCCTCCTCATGTTATGTTTTGTCCAAGCCACATAGCAAGCATTTCAAAAGATCATTCTTGAAAACTTCCAAAAATTTATGTTTGGTGCAGTAGTGGCTTTTTGTAAACTATGCTCACTCTTTAAAACAGGAGGCTTTCTCCTCGCAGCAAAATCCACAGAACACGAACACAAAATAATTAGAATATGAAGAGTACTTAGCTTTACATAAATACACATCACTGTATTTTTAAGATGTGTCTTACTGCCTTAAGGGAACAGATGGAACATCGCATTTTGTTTGAAACACATTCTGTATTAAGAGGTATGGTAGAGACCCCTTAAGACATAAATGACTTTAAAATGTAACAACCAATTAAATGAAAGCCAAGCTTACTTTTTTCCTTGAACTACACTATTTTCTTTGCATGGATTAATAGATCAGTTATAGCAGCTTTTGGAATACTTACTTGTGGTACCTTTACAGGAGGTGGCTGGATAACCTGCATCCTACATCTTGAAGGTTGCCCAAGTCATGCCTTCAGGTTTAAGATACGCCTTTTCTTAAAATCAGAACCTATTCTAACAAAACCCACTTGCAATTGTCACTGCAAAACCAATTCAACGTAATTGCCACAGCATGATGTGAGATAGTTTTGACCAACTGTGTATCACATTTTAAAAGACTCATTTCCAAGCAATTTTAATTTCAGATTACATAGCTCAGATCTTCAACAGCCTGGCTATTTACTTTTATAACAACATGCACAGGAAGAGACTGGAACGTACATACGTATTTTAGAAGTGTCATACTAAAAGATTTCTAATAACCATTTTTTCTAAATAAAAACGACAAAAGTTTAAAGAAGTTATTAAAGCGCAAATACCTTCTTCAACTGCTGTTCCTTAAAGCACCGTACAGTCCTGGCTGGTTCAGAAATTAAGTTTTTATAGTTCTCACAGATATTGAGTCGGGATTGGGCCACTTGCATCGTGCCTTCTAAAAGTGATTTCCAAACTGAGTACATGCTCCTAAAATAATGAAACACAGAAAGGTTGTGGGAAGGAAGAAAGGGAGGCCAGGCACTACACTGAAAATATGGGTTGGTTTATGTAACAGTAGCCTACATTCTTCCAAGGATTGCTTTTAAAAATAAAGCTAAAGCACAATCCTTCATGCTGATCTAGCAAATATCTGCACTTTTAACAAAAATTTTAACTGAAGTTTTACTAAAAGTAAAAATTTTCTCTCCTGTCTCTGTTTTGTGATTCAGTTTTTCGGCAAACATTTTCAGTTGAACCTGTTGCTCCAGTGGAACAGACCCCACAGAACCCAGCAGCCAAAGCCAGATCAGATGTTGACAATTTTTGATAAGATCATGGATTTTGTGATTTTGGGCATCTTCCAATCAAGCAAATAGTTACAGACTGCTCATCAATTTTGCCTCAGCTACCTGTAGTTTCTTCGTCATGCGTAACAAGCCAAAGACAACCACCGTAGCTGTGTAGCGAGCTTTGCAGGGCCCCAGTAATTCACCACAAAAGCTCAGAAGTGCCCAAGTCAGAAGGAGAAGGTGGAGCAGGGAGAGCGGGGGAAGAAGGCGACAAGATCTCCCCTGCAGCTGGTAGAAAGGAAAGATTGCTGGAGCTTGCAGAGCCCAAGAACTTGGTGAGAGGGAGGGAGGGAGGGGGCAGCAGGTATTTGGAGGACATGTCTGGCACTATGGGTGTATGTGATGGCACAAAAGGCTTGCTGAATGGGGAGCAAACTGCAGGTAGGAGGGGTCTGTGTGTCATGGGAGCATTTTATAGACACTTAAGACTGATAATTCAGTTTATTTCTTCTTAGACACACAAGCGGTGTGAAGATACTGGTAGTCCAAAACACAAATCTATCAACAATTTCTTCCTGTTTGAAATAAAACTTGTCAGAATACAAAGAACACATTAAAATAAAGTATCTTAAAACTTTTTCAAAATATAGGAGGTACTATTCAAAGGTGGGAGGCTTTCAGCAACTGAGTCATTTCTGTTTTCATGTTATGATCCACCTTTCATGTTAATGAAACTAAGTTTTGTAAACAACTGTTTCTTGCTTTGCCTCCTCCTTGCTGTCAGGTGTTGTCTTCAGGAAGAATGGCCTCCTAAAAAGAAATCTGTTGCTGTCTTTTCCTATGAAGAAATCCACACGTTTAGTACTCTAACCTTAAAGCTATTTACTAAAATATATATTTAGATACAAGTATTAATACCCAAACAGGGTGCCCAATTACAGTTGTCCTGTCGTGCCATTTTGTTTTTCCAATCTCCCTAAATTATTCAAGTAATAAACATCTATTTAAGACTAATCTCAAAACTTCAGGGGAAAACAAAGCTTCCTTTTTAACTGGCAATGCTCTACAACAAAGAAAAAAACAACCTTAACTACAGAAGGGCAGCCTTTCATTGTTAAGTAAAATAATTATACAAATTGAAATTATAAAGACAGCTCTTATGAGATATCCAACTGCTAAATTACCTATAATCACTTCGTTCATCAGCTTTTATTCCAAGCCAGTCCTTCTTTAAGTATTGGCTAGCCAGCTTCTGAATGCTCTGTTAAAAGAAGGAAAAAAAAAAGTTAAAAATAGGAGCAAAAATGTTGTTTTAGTTACCTCTTATATCAGACAAATGACAACCTGACATATAAAGAAGCAATCAATCCATAGTATTAGCAAACTACTACAATGCAAGACTTATTTTTACCCCTTTTTATATTTTTGTTTGACTTTAGTTTCTGTTGAGAACAATTAATGAGTTTCATGTTAATATTTTAAATCAGTGGGACTCTAGCTGAGATCTGCACATGCACACCTCAGCTCTGAAAATATTTCTGCACGTGACTGACCCCAGCAAGACCAGTAACACAGAAGATGTTTGAGCAGTGTGTGGCAGAATCAGAGGCAGGAATATTGCAAGTAAAATGTCTCCATTTGTCACAGCTACAAGAATCCAAATTTTTATTTAGCTGAATGAGGACATGGGGTTCTGAGAAGCAATGAAATATCTGGTCATTTATGCGCCCAATCTGAAACGCCCAACTTGGATCATTCGAGGTTGCACCATTAGCAGTGAACTGAAGAAGCTCTATTGCTCACAGGATCAGCCCTTTACTCAGAGGATTACAATAGACTAGAGATTGAAAAATGCAGTTCCGTTTTTAATTATTAATGTTAATTACACTCTTTAGTCTCTGCGTTTCACTTTGCACGGTCTCAGAAAATCAATAACAACGTTTTCATATTCAAGCTCAGAGAGCAGCAAAATTTAATTTGTAAACAACGCAAGGGAGGGGGAGTCGCTGTCGCAGTGGTCCCTCCTTCGGCTTGTAATCTCATTTAACAGTATACATCGCTTATGAATTGAGTACCATCAAATGGAAAAGAGGATGGATATTATCCAACTCAGTTGGATAACGGGTTTATGGACACTGAGCAGCGTTCCTGCTTCTTCACAAAAGAACCATCACCGGAGAAGCACTCTCCAGCTTTTGTACAAAAGTCCATTCAGCAAAGAAGTGGGAGACCTGGGTTGAAATTCCCTTTCCAGCTAAGAAAAATCAACCCCACAGATGCTTTCCAGAAGAGTGCATCTGGAGGAAAAGCCTGGGGTGAGACATCTTCGCATCTGACCCACTCAACAAAGGGCACGGTGCACTATCATTTGTTTACATTTTCCATACTATATTTAAGATGCTATCACCTGCCAGGACAGCCTTTAAGTTCTCTTAGTGAAAAATATCAGAGAAGTATCTCAAAAAGCACAACCAGATCTCATCCTTGTCTTACCAGCCCATTTGATGCTAAAAATTTATTACCGAGCTTACAATCTGATTGACACTTTCACACAGAAAAATGTTAATTGTTGCTAATATATCATTAATAGAAAACTTCTGCTCCCTCATTATTAAACATATCTATTTCACCTTTGAGTCCAACTCCAACTGCTCTGAACCGATCTGCTGAGCTGGGTACCAGTTTCTGGCGTTAGTGATGCTTAGAGCCGGGTTTACGCTAACAGTCCTTGCGAAGCCAATTGCTGAGAGCTGTTATTTCCCGTTCTGCGCTTCCATGTCTTCCCAAGTTACCTTCCCTGATTTCCATTGCACTTTTTGCTCAGTTGAGGATCATTTTCAAACTCCACGTCGATATTTCATTGTGGAACATGAAATATGTGAACATACCTGTTCATGTATACCGTCAGCAATTCTTTTCACGGGGAAAGTTATGCCTGTAACTATAAATTCTTGCATTTCCATTGCAGTTTCTTCCATTTTTTTAAGAAGATGCACAAATTGCATTAGGTAGCTGTTAAAAAACCCAGATAAAAGGAAAAATAACATTTCCTTTAACTCTGGCAGAGCAATTTGTGATGAGATTTGGAGCTTTATTAGGTAGCCCCACCTGGTGCTATTTTCATGTTTCCATCCCTTCTGCATCAGACTCCACCTACGAGATCTGCCCCAAGATGCTGAATAAACATTCACAAACACAAAACTAACCACAAAAAAAGCTCACTGGCAGTTGAGGACAAGCTATGCCAAAATTAAAAATGAAAAAAAGCCACAACAGGGATAAATAAAGCCATTTTTGCACACAGAAACCCTATGACTGGTGTCAGCAAATCAACTCTAAAACTAGCGTGATTAACCATAATCACCAATAACCATATTTCCAAACTCAACAAGCTCGCCACCGAAATCAATGCAACATCGAAGAGAGGGCTCCAGCTGCATAGTGAAGATGTCTGATCAGTTAGTATTCGTTCGTGAAAACTGATAAACCACGTTGGCATTTCATACAAAACTGCTGCAGGCGAACGTATGGTTTTTAATTAGACCAGTACAGTAGGTTTGCTTTCTTAATCTTTATGCTGAATGTAACTTTTTTGTATGAGATCCTCCTTGTTCTGTTCTCAATAACACTTCTTGGTTTGCTGAACCGAAACAAAGAATACCACTGTTGGGCTCAAGCGGGGAAGTCAACTGATTGTTTAACCTTTGGCATCGCCCGACTTTGCCCGCAGCCTAGGAGCGTGCTCGTTTCTTCCTTGAAGGTGCACATCAATCACGTTTCACAGGCTTGAGATAACGATATTTAACTGCAAGAATAAAGTTGTTGCGAGGCAAGAATGGAAGTCCGTGCAGAATGCTGTCCTGATTTCAATATTGTTTGATGACACATTTCCTTAATATCTATTTAAAAGTAACTTTAGAGAAAGGGACGGAGCTTCATTGAGTAAAGGTGCTATCAAAAATTACAGTGTAAATCCCCATCCAAAGTTGAATGAAACCCATAAAACCTCTCCTTCCTCTCAGTCTCATTGGGCTACAGACAGTCGGAGCGTCACGACTTAAAATCCTGTTCAGGAGAAGCAATACTGTGAGGTCAGTGTATCTGCATCCCCAGCCGCCGCATGGCTCGTGAGCCCCGTGTCCCACTGTGCTGGGCACCTCCATGTACCGTGCAAAGGCACGGGCCTGCCTTCAAAACCTTTGATATCTGAAGAAACACTAAAACGATTTTTAGTATAAATATGTAAAACCATAGTTCACCAAAACGACAATAATAGTCTGCTCTCTGATGGCTGTGAAACAAGGTGGTGTATAGCACTGAATCTGAATAAAAGTTCAGTTAATTATTTTTGAATGGTAATAACAATCGATTTATTTTGAAGTACACTATTTTTAATCAATAATTATTGACATGAAAGGTCAAAAATGTCTGAAATCCCCTGCAAGCACTGTGCAACCTCTCCTCACCCTTGTTGAAAGAAATGTACTTGCTGACTCTGCTTGTATGTGTTATTAACCCATTGAGCAGGATTTAGAAAGAGCAAATACAAAATAGTGTAAACAGACCAGCTGTCACATAAACCGAATTTTAACTCATCTGAAGACGACGCATATCCTTCCTCCATGTCTTGGTTTTCCCTTCCTCCCCCTCCATCAAAACGCATCTTGTATCGCTATGCTACAAACAAGTTAATATTACACATCCATGGGTACTTCAACTGTTTGCAAATCTGCCTAACAGATGGGTGGATGGGACATAAAATTGTGTCAATCAATCATCCAAGGAATCAACAGCTAGAAATGAAATTCCGCTGAACGGAAAGACCACCAAAAAATCAGCACAGCTTCATGTATGCTCAAATTCGCATTTCCCATTGCTGCAGGTCCTATTCGACGTTCCCTCTTACCAGATCTTACCTCAAGTCTATTAATTGGTATTTTCTAATAAGGTCAGTTGTGACAGATACTGGGGGAGGAAAAAAATAATATTTGCTATAATACTAATGGAAAGTAAGTAATTACCGACAGAAAAGGAAAGAGAAAGATGTCCCAAATTAAAAGATCACTGATAGAAAAGTATGTGGCTTTTAAAAAGACAGGTTAACAATGCTTTTCAAAGCAGTCCTAAGATCTTTGTAATAATTGAGAGGTGCTGATGACAGCCAAGTTCCCTAAAACCTATTCTTTATTGCAGAAAGCATGCAGACGCTAGCTGATGTAACACTGCATTTTGGAAAATATCTATCAACAGGACAAATTTAGTGCTCTTTTTCACTTAGGTGGTTTCAATATCTTGCATCATTTTGATCATTTCTCTTTATCAGAGCAGAATCCATCAACCAACCCCTTATAACTTTCATTTCTACAAATATATCTACACTCTGCTATTATTGTTTCAGAAGAAAGGAACCTTGAATTAAGAAGGACAGAGAAATACTGTCGTCTGAGTACTCTCTAATATTCAGCGATCCAAGGAACTCCAATATAGGCTGTAAGCAAATGGCCCAAATAATCCCTCCGAGTGGGGAAAAAGGAAACGGGTGGTAGAAAAAGCCCAGCCAGAAGGTAAGGCCTTAGGCAACACGCTAAATCTGAGGCTGGCAGACGAGAAGGGCATATGGACAGCAGCTGCTGTAACAAGTCTATGAGTGAAAACCTCCTCCGGCCATGCCACCTGCAGCGGTGGTGGGACCCTGGAACAGCAGCGACGGAGAAGATGCAAAGGAGAATTAAAGGAGGAGAAAAGGGGAGAGTTCCTACCTGAAGCCAAGTCCGAGTCGGGAAGATGATGTCCCTTATGTTTAATATCCATTAGCTACATGATGTTAATACATTATTTCTGTAGTTTGAAGAACAACTTTTCCAAGCACTGATCACCGACAAGTGACAGAAAATAATGCTTTCTTTTTTTCCCCCACGGATGCATGCACGGCGATTTGCTTGACTGATCCTCAAGATCATTGCCTATGCATTATGTGCTGCAGCAGCAGCTTTCTGACATTATTTTGTTTACTAAGTGGCATTATTTTGTTTGCTAAGTACTCTTCTGGCAGGCAAATGCTCCACAAGGGAGAGGTTTTTAGCATCTCTCTCTTTACTTGACTTCTTCCCTGGGAGGAGTGAGGTTACTCCCAATTCAACTGACTTCACAGAAGTTTGGAAGCCAGTTGTCCTATTCAACACCTGCAACTTAAGGCTCTCCAACAGCAGCAAGAAAAAGTAATAGTTTTATTATGTATAAATTCTTATTATCAGACTCATC